ATTAATTCTTTTTGCATTTATGACAACAGCTAATTTGCGTACAACTAAGCAGCAACAAAAAACTATGAGAACTTTACTTTTTCCTATTGTTTCGGTGCAGAAGTAGAACATTATGGCTATGGTACTAGATGTGCTGTTATATTAAACTATAGTAATACAGTAAATTATAGTAAACAAAATTTTCTTACAACGTACGTGTTCTCTTCCATTGCAAACGCAAAGCACGAGTATGACTGCAATAAGCATTGTATACTTATACACCACACCTGTACGAAGGACGGGTTCTCTGCTAGTATATACAGGGTTAGTAAAACGTGTGGAGACCCCCTGTTATTTTTTTAACGGCCCATACTAGAAAAACTAAACTCGGCACACCTTTATGACATGTTATGAAGTACTTTTTGGGCATAACCATCACTTGGTGTATATCCCCAAAATGGGGAAGCTAAAAAATTTCAAATACAAAGACCCACCGAGTGACCCCTTATTTTGAAGGTCCTGGTAAAAGAAAACCAACAACGCAAACTAGAGGTCTTTATCTCAATCCAGTAAAAAATGGCAGCCAATTGAGATTCTCAGAAGTTAAATTTAACTTACAGCTTTCCAAGTCTGGAGACCCGCTGTAAATTTTGTAGCGGCTCACACTAGGATAACTAAACTCTACACAGCTTTTTGGCATGTTATGAAGTACTTTTTAAGCCTAATAGCCACTTGCTTACCAAACCCAAAATGGGGGATTTTGGGGGAAACTCAAAAGTTTTAAATGATAAGCCCCATCGAGTGACCCCTCATTTTGAAGGTCCTGGTAAAAGAAAAGTAACAACGCAAACTAGAGGTTTCTATCTCAATCCAGTAAAAAATGGAAGCTGATTGAAATCTTTAAAAAATCGGAAATAACTTGCAATTTTATATTCAATTGGCTGTCATATTTTACTGTGTTAAGATAGAGACCTATAGTTTGCGTTATTCGTTTTATTTTATTATGACCTTCAAAATGAGGGGTCACTCGATGGGGCTTATCATTTAAAATTTTTGAGTTTCCCCAAAATCCCCCATTTTGGGGTTGGGAACTTATGAGAATTTCAATTGGCTGCCATTTTGTACTGAACTGAGATAGAGACCTCTAATTTGCATTGTTGGTTTTCTTTTATCAGGACCTTCAAAATGAGGGGTCACTCGATGGGTCTTTGTATTTGAGATTTTTTAGTTTCCCCCAAAATCTCCCATTTTGGGGATGAACACCAAGTGGCTGTTATGCCCAAAAAGTACTTCAAAACATGCCATAATGGTGTACCGAGTTTAGTTTTTCTAGTATGGGCCGTTAAAAAAATAACAGGGGGTCTCCACACTTTTTACTAACCCTGTATATATAATGTGTCCGTTAGCACAATAACTCGAACAAAAATTATCCAATTTTGATGAAATTTGGTATAAACATGTAAACCTACATTTATTCAAACGAGTTTGCGAACCAGCCTGATTGGACTATGGGAACGGGGGTTTACGGGGGGTTTTATGGGGTAAAAATATGTTTTTCCCACTTTTGACCCAAAAAACATAAAATTTAGCAATTTCTTTCCAAACCATTTTGTAGAGCTTAAAAAAACAAATAATTTAGTATAATGAAGCGTTATTATGCACCTAATGGTTACGGAGAAAATTCAAAAAAAAAATTTAAAATTCCCATGTTATTCTTATGGAGAACAAGTAAACTGTTGTAGTTTGCTTGCTCATGAACATATTTTGATCAAATTTGGAAAATGTTTTTATTTCTTATAGTCCACTGTCAAATGTACACCCGTGTGCTCCTTGATGAGGCAGGTGTGTGAGTAGTCTTAATCTCTTCGTTTGACCTTGGAGAAATACAATTTCGTTGGTGGCACTCTTGAAAATGGTGCGTTTGAACGCTGTGAGTAAAAAACACAATGGCCGCCATTTAAATTTGTAAGGCCAAATTCCTTGAAAACCAGCTATTAAAACGAAATTTTGCAACACATTACTTAAAGTCCTTTTTATTACAAATAGAATGACACTTTATTTGCGAAAATCGGATAATAAATAAAAAAGTTATGTTACTTTTATTATTAATAGTAATTATCAAAATAGCAGTCATTTTGAAATCACAAAGTTAAATTCTATAGAAACTAGTGACAAAAACATAATAAAAGTTACATAACTTTTTTTATTTATTATCTGATTTTGGCAAATAAAGTGTTGTTCGATTTGTAATAAAAAGGACTTTACAATACTGTGTTTCAAAATTTTGTTTTAGTTGCTGGTTTTCATGAAATTTGACTTTAAAAAATTTTAATGGCCGCCATTTTGAAATTCGATGAGCCTGATCAAAGATTTTTTCGGAGAATGTTTATAGTTGTAGACTTAAAGTTTATACTAAGTTTCATAAAAATATCTCCAAGAGCTTTTGAGTTATCAATTATTTTCAAAAAATACAAAATGGCGGATTACGGTTAAACTAAGCCGAAATCGAAAAAAATGTCATACAACATTTTCGACTTATTTTTGCACATAGAATCTGAATCTGCATAGCCCGTTACGCTTTACTGAAACACCCTTTATTACTTTTTGAAATATTTAACTGTCCTGGGACATTACTTCCACCCTGATTAATTTATTTATGAAAAATATAAAATTATGTTTTATGAAAGAATGGTGTATCCTACCTAAAAACTTTAACAATCTTTTTTGTGCAGATTTGAAGTTGCTACATTTTGGTATCGACAATTCTTTTATAACTCTAACGGTTACTGATATAAGTAAGAAAGGAAGTTTGCGACGGCGGCCATTTTGTTTTTTTCCCACAGCGTTCAAACGCACCATTTTCAAGAGTGCCACCATCGAAATTGTATTTCTCCAAGGTCAAACGAAGAGATTAAGACTACTCCCACACCTGCCTCATTAAGGAGCACACGGGAGCCTGTATATGTACATTTGACAGGGGACTATTACTAACTATTAACATTTTACAAAAAAAAAACAGTTTTACCCTCCCTGATGCAGCAAACCTAAGTACTTGTTAAACTAATTCTATTTAAATAGGAAATAAATGTTATATTTTTAAGTAGGCAGACATTTTACTGTAAATCCAATCAGGCAAATGGAAATTTGCTTAGTCTGCAGGTTTGCTGCGGCGGGGGTATTTACAAAATGTTCAGGCTTTGTAACTACAAGTAGTAGATACATGATTTAAGTGTAATTTGAAAGATTATACTACTGCAAACAAAGTTATGCATTGGTTTGAAATTATCTCTTCAGATATTATCTCTTCAATTTCTCAAAATAAAAGAAACTTTGAAATTTGTCTATAGTATTACACAAAAATTAAAATAATGATAAATACTTATACTTTAGATAATTGAAAGCCCATGCATAACTTTTTCCCTGTATATGTAAAGAGCGAGCATTCAAAGTTTGACCGCTGAATCTCTAATACTTTCTGAGCCTTAGCATTTTTAGTAAACTAAGTCATGGTTTTTCTCTACTTTCGGGAATCGCACGTTTTCTGTCCTGCTGGCTGTCCAATTTGGGCCTAGGCATAGGCAAGTTTTTAGTTACTGTGCATGTTGGGTTATTTGTTTTCCACCTTGCAGATTTCTTGTTTTTGAAAGACACTTTAGGTACTCTAGACATTTCTACTATAGACAAATAGAATAGAATAAATATAGACTGTCAAAGGAAGGTTCCGGCGCCCACCACTAGGAGTGCTGTGTAATTACGGCGCACACCGCTGCAGGCGAGGAGCGCAGGAGCCGTATGCGACCAGCAGACGCTGCAGCAGTGTGCGCTGTAACTACACGGCAAACCTAGCGGTGGACGCCAGAAATTATGCTAACCGCAGCACAGCTGATGGTCTATATTTATTATATTTGTCTATGTTTCTACCCACACTCACTATCTTAAAACAAATGAAAATACCACTTTTAAAACTCCAAAAAAGATGTATGAATCGCTTTTATCGGATTTGTAACAAAAGTAGAACGTTCAACGTTTTCCATAAAACATTTATGTTTACATCTAATTGTTGTGTTTCTCCTTTAATCTGGGTTTTCCTAGGCGCGGAAGCGGAGATCAGAGAGAGGAACGCGGAGATCGGAAAAGAGATTATCATGGTGTTCCGCTCCGCTTCTAGGAAAACAGTAACATTAAATTACCTAAGACAAGTGGAGTCCGCTCGCCGCGTTCCTCTCTCCGCTCTCCACTTCCACGCATAGGATAACCCGGCTTTAGAGAAATATAAAAATTAAAAATTGAGTAGGCCAAAAAACAAAATTCCAATTTTTTGAGATTTTTTTACTTTTTTCAATTTCTGTGGGACCTGTCCTTAAGATTGCTTAAAAAAAAATATATCCCTCTAGGAAGATGTGTATTTAGATGCCTCCATCACTACATGTTAAAAGCTAATTTTCACTTACTGGTAATGAGAAATACCGCTATACCAGTAATATCACTAACCTGACATATACTTTCACCACTTATACTTATGTATGTGATACTTTGTCCACAACCCTCATTTGTAAGCTATGGGAGTAACTATGATATTTTATGGGGAAAATCACAAAAGTTTTAAATAGCTTTTCAACTATTATTTTTACAACTTTGGGGGTCATAGCATTTTGTTTGGAGTTAAAAAGAGGTATAACATACTAAATTTTAACAAAAACCATTTGAGCTGATTTTACTGAACTATTTTATAGATTTTTATTGGAAAATCACCATTAAAAATCAAGATTTCCAAAATATTACCTGGAGATACAATGGATTAGTACCCTTATGCAATCAAAATTGGAACAAAGGTGTGCTCACAATGCTCACATCCACACACGCACACATACATCACTTCTAAAACAACTTTTTTGGGTTCAGGGGGACGCAAAACTGATATATGCGCACAACACTCAAATTCATTTTGGTAGGTTTGAGACCCCCTGCTATATTACATTATGGAGTAAATCGTTGCATAATACACCATATGTTGAACTCACCCATTATCAATCCCGTTGAAGCCTATTTTTTCGCCCATGTCACCAATAGTAATACCAGGGTAGGGCAAAAGTGTATCGGGATCTCTCACGGGAACGATAAAAGGATGAAGACCTTGATTTTGTCCATCTGGAGTGGTCAACTGCGCAAAAACTGTAGCGTGTGTAGCCATTTGACCTATTTATGAAACATGAACATGAGGAGGTAATTCGAAGAACGGCAAAATATTCATATAAGTTAATCCTTAAAAATATTGCAATTACCTCTACTTTTCTGCTGTATTTTGTTTTTCATACTATGCCTAAATTAATTGATATTCGATACCATTACCTTTAAAATAAAATTTATTCAAACACAAAATGCTAAGAATGCCCTGAGTCACACCAAGGATTAATACTCCTGACAACTAAAATGTTGTAGCTATTGTTAGGTGGTTGGCTGATTAAGTAGCTCCACATGATTTATATATTTAAAACATAGAAATACAAAGATTCTTTAACTTTAACACACTCCAGACAAAATCTAATTCTGACTAACATACCTAAATTTCCTACCCAACATTTAGCAGCTTCAAAATCTTCAGTGTGAAGTACAAACTCCTGTGTTTCTTTATCAAAGGTAGCAGTAGTTCGCATATTCTTTGCATTGCTACCATGTGCAATTTCAGTCAAGGCAAAACAGCCGATAATCTGCATGAGAAAAGAAAATTTGGTTACTATACCAGTATTTTAAGTAATAATTATGACAATTAACTTGTTCACTGCGTTACGAGATCCCGAGTTCTCGTATCGTACCCAGCCTGTAGTGCGGGACCCATCATTTGGCTTTTCCCCTTAATTTATGACATTGATATTTCAGCGTACCGTACAGTTATCCTAAGGAAATGAAACTTTTACATACAGAATATTTTTTTATTGATGAAACAGCTGGTAAAACATGAAATGAACGAGATAAATAGATCTTGTCACAAACTGAAGTAATACATCTTTCCTTTATAACGATACGTGACCTCTCATAAATAGTTGTTCCAAGCGCCACAGGAGGCTAATGGGGTGATTAGTAACCATGAAAACTTGTTGAATGGGTGGATGAAAGTTACCTAATATTTACAAGTTATCTAATGTTTTATAGGTTTAAAAAATAATTGTATTCAACAAGTGTATAATTATCAACGTGCTTCTCTTCTGAAATTGCAATATCGGATGCATAATAAGGGTCGATGACGTAAAATATCATCAATGTTAAAATAAAAAATTATAATAGCAATGTTGTATTTTGATGTAAAAATGCAAATCATGGCATTAACTTAATTCAAATTAGAATATTTCCCATGGCATTTCATATAAAATCAATGCTAAATAGTTGTGGTTAATTCAAATTATATTTTGATAATTCAAAGTTCCTACGCGGAAAAATACAATCAAAAGTCAAACAGGGCAAGGAATTCCCAAAAAACAACTTTGTATCATTGTCCTGCGATTGGAATCCCTCTCGCCAGCCCTTTGGGAAGTGGTGCAAGTCTAAAAATAGCTTCAAGGTCGCACCCTCCCCTTCTACCCGCCCTACTCCACTCACTGTTATTTTATTTAGCCTGAAATCAGCCATGGGGAAACACATTATTATGAAAGGTGATAATAGAAAGATAAATTAACTATTTAACTACGGTTACGATTATTAAGAATTTGTAAATACGGTAAATTAATAGAAAATAGATATGTTTCATAATGTTTTAATGTATAAAAAGAAAAGAACTAATATAAATAAAAAATGAACATAATGAAATAATTACAGCTGTGGGGTAGGAGATCTCAGGGTCTCGCACAATTACATCATATTTCATTCCTGGGCTGAATGATGGTTGTTAACGTTGTACTGGTTCACATAAACAAACACAGAGCGCTCTCTCTACTTTCTTTGTGAGGTTATGATGCGCAAACGATTACTGTGTAACGTAATCTCGGGGTCTTGTATAGCACCTGGGTAATCACAGTGGACGAGAATTATAGACACACCATTGGAATAATACACAAAAAATATACAACGCAGTGAACGTGTTAATACTATAATATGCATTTTTTTGTAATTTTATGCAGTATGAGGCCTAATCATCTTATATATTAAAACGTGACAGGGTTTTTTTATTTCACGATTCTGAATCAACCACTTGACGGATTTTCTTGATTTTTGTGTTGATTGAAAGATAATTTTGAGAACTAGGGAATGTCGAAGCCATAATTTTAGTTTAGTTAAGGTTTTCAGTTTTAGCGAATTTCCCTATAGGGAAGTAGCTATTACCGTAGGTCTCATGGTAAGACTTAGGCCCGGGACCGATTTACTTTTTCATTTTAATGTCCCCAGAGGCCAAAAACACCATTCGTTCAAATTTTTATATATGTATATATATATATATATATATATATATAGGTATATATATAGATTTATATATATATATATGTGTCCGTGAACACGATAACTTGAGTAATTTTTATCCGATTTTGATGAAATTTGGTTTGAAGATGTAAGGCGGGATAAACTTGAATGAGTTCGCGATCCAGCATGATCGGATCATGGGAACAGGGTTTTATGGGGGGTTTTATGGGGTAAAAATTGGTTTTTCTCATTTTTTACCCTCAAAACACAAAATTTCCCAATTTTTCTCTAAACCTTCTTAAAGAGCTTAAAAAAACAAACAATTCAGTATATCAAAGTGTTTTTGTACGGTTATTGGTTACGGAGAAAACTAAAAAAATTGTAAATTTAAAATTCCCATGTTATTCTTATGGAGAATATTGTAAAATGTTGTAGTTTGCTTGTTTATGGATATATTTTGATCAAACTTGGCAAATTTATTTATTTTATAGTAAGCTATCAATATTTTACTAAAAACACACTACTTTATTAGTTTCCTTGTAGCAGCAAACCTAGGTACTCGTTAAACCTAATGTTATTTAAATAGATCAATTGAAAATCAATTCGGCCAAATGGAAATTCGCTTAGACGGCAGGTTTGCTGCGGCGGGGGTATTTTAGAAATTAGGTTTTAATTTTCAAAAAGTCTAGCAGCCGACGCTAACATTCTATACTAGCTTTTGGCATCATACCATTTGCTTAACGTAACAGCTGTAAACATTCAGCATTTGCGACACAAATTCAGCATTTGGATAAAAGACATACGTAGGGTTGACTTATTTATACTATGTGTAATGCTTTAATCATTGATACGTTCAATTCTTCGGTAAGAGGATGACTGATTAATTTAATATACATAGTACAATACTAGATGATCAAATTATTTTTTTAAGCAATCTTTAAAAACTTCGGTATGTTTTAGTGCAATATAATTTGTTTTAACTAACAGCTGGTTAAATATAAAAATATTCTATACTAGCTGTGTGCCCGTTCTTCGCAAGGGGATTTTATCCTAGTCAGTTGAAACCTTATATTAAGAACAGAAGTTGGTTTGCATATTTTCAGATATGATGACAAAACTATTATATATAAACCTTCGCAAATACAGTATCTGACAGTTTCAAGCCAAAACAAATGCTTCGCCCCCAAAACAAATGCTTTAATTAAATGTCACCCGGATCGTGTTGGTCCATATGTTAAATCCAATGATTAAACTGAAAAATGCTTTATAGATCTATAAGGCATCTATGAGACCTAAGGTAGTCCTATAATTGAAAGTTGCTTTCCACAATGGTTAAAAGTATTTAAGGTACTACCTCAACCTCACAATTAAACACTTTATTTGGGTTGATATTTTCACTATCAAGGTGCTCTTGTCCTTTCCGTGAAACACTGAGAAATAAGGACATTAATGCGACACAAAAATACAGAACTTAATTAGGGAGTTTGCTAGGTTTTAACGGTTCTAAGGAAAAGAACCAGTACAGCACCAAAAACCGATCAACGCCCATGTCACCAAACCACTGCTACCAACACAGACACCCCCAACACAGCTAAATAAATAATATTAAAACCTATACACTAACTAAAACATAAAAAAATGCTTTTTTTTCAAAAAAAGGTATTGAGATACTAAAGATATCTTTGAGTATTATGGGACTCGGTGTCGGCAGTGAGAGATCTGGCTGCCGTCCGGATATTGGTAAGGAGACGGTGGTTTTAAGGATTGTACTGTTAAGAACTACAGTACATCCGACCAAATATATGCGTTAATCAAGTCCTGAGGTTATTGATCTCTTGGTTTTGGTTTTATCGTAAAAAGTTATCGGCAATCAAAGTTATTTTCCATTAATTGCTTTAATTGTAAACAACTTTTAATGTGAACTTATCGGTGTCAGTTTGAAAAAAAAAACCTTATACAAACAACTTTTTGTTTTTAACAGATTACGTTTTCTCTAAACAATGATTGGTATATATATTAACATGAGAAGAAAATGTGACAAAAATCACACCACTTTGGGTTTTTGGACGTTTGTAATTTAATTTCTTAAGTAGGTAGGTTGTGTATTCTAGGGAAAAGTACCGGTATTAAGGATCGTCGTCGAAAAGATTGTTAAGAATAATTGGGTAGGCGTACGTACCCAAGAGATGGACTATGGGCCTATTGGCTGTATGGTCCAGCGATTGCATCACACGGTGAGTAGGAATATTGACTATATATGTCAATGGTAGGAACAGAAAGTGACACATTGGAAAAGCGAGTTTAACATCATTCGCAATCCTCTGTTACAATCACCTATTGCAGTTGTGATTTTTTACTGTACAACACAACCGCCATTGAACGTCAATGAGTGGAAACCTTGTTTCTAAGCTATTGGAGACGATCATTAATAAATTTAAATTTCACCCAGCCGTATACAAAACTGATTCAAGGTCTTCTTTCTGGTTATCAAAACTCAAGAACAATTTTATACACAAAGAATCTCTGGTTCCTGACCTGGATGATGCCTAGTTATTTAATTTCATTTACGGCTACACTATATTATTGCACTTGCGATTAATTTTATCCGTTATGTAAGAAAAACGTTTTTAATCTCACTTGGTTAGGATTTTCTTTAAAAATGTTAAATGGAAATGGTTGCGGTATTTGTAAACAACATTTGTAAACATATAGTGACAGCTTGAAAAAATAATCTTGACCGAACAGCTGTTCGTTAATGTGATAAAAATTGGATGAAAACTTTACAAAAATCGCACAAAACTGCATTTTTGAACGTCCGTAATTTTATTTACAAAGTAATGAGGCCATATTTTAATGGCTAAAGACACTCTCGCCAATCCAGTGAATACATTAAAATGACTTGGATCTATGTTTTCTTGGAGAAGATAGCGTAAAATGCCATCTTGAGTGTTACAGACAGAAGACAGAAAGACAGACAGACAGACAGAAATAGAGATAAGACTCGTTTCTGCTTCTTTAATGTATAACACGTAAAAATAACCTAAAAATATATAATTCTGAGCAATGTACAGACAAAACTCTAATTTTATTTATACAAACTGTCCCAAAAGTCGCGGACCGGTTTCATATTTTCTAAACGACAACAGATAAATCGATAAGATTTTGTACAGCAACACCACACCTAAAAATCTACTTTTTTAAGGAACTAAAAGTTTTCTGTCATATAATTAGGCCGTCCCACAAGGAGTCAGAAGGAAATCTTAAATAGGAGCTGTAGTGTATACAATAATAATGTACCATAATGTTGCCATTTTTACGA